TCCGTCCGGAAACGACGGCCGGACGGCCGGTCAGATTAAAAAAAAAAAAAAAAATTAAAATTTTTTCCGGCGTAAAAAAAAAATTACCTTGTTAGAGAAGAGTTCTTTGCCGAGGCCGTAGGATTTTTTCGACATTTTTTTGGATTTTTTTCGGTGCTCGAATCGCTCGTTGAAAGTTCGAGAATTTAGAGGGATAGAAAGTTTAGAGAGATAGAGTCTGAAAAAAGATTAAGGGCAAAAAAGTAAATTAAAAGAGAAGGGCGATGACTAGTAAAAAGGGGTGGTGAATAGCAATTGAGTAAAATAAGTTAAAAGGTACTTCTCATTAATAGTTGGATTCACCACTAAAGCCCCATACATATATAGTTTATTATGTTTAGTTACTCGATAAAGTCTTTGGCTAGACCTTTAAAAGATTTATTTTTTATTGTTGCCCAATACTAATTTCTTAAATATTTAAAATAAAACCCATGATGATGATAAATTCATAAAATATAACATAATTAGATGGGGTGTTACAAGATAGATATTAAAATTAATTTGCAATTTAGCTCAAGAGGGGTCAAACTACTTAAGTGATTTTTCATACAAACAATAGATTAAATTAAATCATATGATTATCTTTCGTGAATTGATATGAGTAGGAATGCATACCGTACCCTAGGATACATTATCCTATATTGCTTATTTCCGTGCTTTCAACTATTGTGTACCCCGTGCAATGCACGGGAACAATATTAAATTAACAATATTATAAATAGAATTCGAGTTTGAGTCACTCAATGGCGGAAGTGGAAACTACTATTCATCTTATTTAAAAAGAAGAAGAAGAAAAAAATAATTATAAATTAAAGAGGAGGATAAACAATACTTAATAATTATAAATTAAAGATTCGGGGTCAAACTATGTAAAATTATTTTGTATAAGAGAATATTAGTACGTAACCCGTGCGATGCACGGAATGTAAAATTTGGAAGAATAATGTAACCTCACGCGCATTAGGATCGAAATTGAAATCATTAAAATACATAGGAACATTGTTGAATCATAAATAATCTGTTATTAAAAACTTCCTTGTAAACAACATTATGCGTTTGATTATTTGGTAACTCCTCATTATCACAAACTAATATTTTCAAAAGAGACAAATCCTAAAAATCAAACTAATATTTTTGGTGAACAAACTAATATTTTAGGATTTCTAGTATTTGTCTCTTTTTGGTGATCAAACTAATATTTTAGGATTGGTTATATGAATAAGGCTACCTGTTTTTGGTGTTCTTTTCATTCAAACAATTCGATGACTTGTATAATGAAATCCGAATCTTAAGTCGAAATATTTAAAAAAAGAGTTTTTAAAAATTGAAAAGTCAAGGTAATCAGTTCAGATTAATTAAAGGTCAAAGAATATCCGCTCCTTGAAATAAAGACGTGTGCTATCATTAACCAAATATCCAGTTATTGATATAGAGTGGTTACCAAAAAATAGAACGCGATAAGGACGCTTCATGGAAATATCAATGAGATAAGGTCATAACAGATATGATAAAAGCTCAGATGGAATGATTTATGATAATTATGTCGTAATTAATGAATTAATTAGATGTGTGAAAAGGACATAATTAATGAGAAGTGTGAAAATGACATAATTAATGAGAAGTGTGAAAAAGACATAATTAATGAGAAGTGTGAAAAAGACATAATTAATGAGAAGTGTGAAAATGACAAAAACTTACTGGTTTTGAAAAATATTTAATGCAAATCCGACATTGACCATAATTTGACTTACTATTTTAGATAAATGTTAATTCTTATTATATAAGTATAGATAAAAAAAATTTGATTATACCATTTCAAAATTATTATTATACTTTTTTGTATGGTTAGCTTATAATATTTGTAAAAATATTAGTAATTAAACTGATGAAAATTAGCTTCTTAAAGTAGATTATTTGTAGTAGTAATTATGAATTTTATTTTATTTTCTCTTTTTAAAGATAATAGATTTTTATTAGTAATTATGAATTGGTTTTTTATTTTATTTTATTTTTTCAAATGATTCGGTTTCTATTTTATTTTATTTTTTCAAATTTGTATAGATAAGGGATGAAATTTTTTAAACACGTATGCAATGGGATTTTGTAATAGAGATTTTGTAACAGAAGATAAGCTCGTGTAGATTTATACTAACAATAAGAAAATAAAAAGCAAATGTTTATTGTCAAACAACGGTTTTGATAAACTAAAAAACAGGAAAAAGAGAAACAAATCTTTACACAATTAATGAGCCGATTTTTTTGCCTATTCAGATTTGTCCAACAATTACTATATATAGGATATATTTAATAATTTTGGGGGAAAAGGTTTTTAAATTTATTAAAAATTTATTCTTTTTATATAATGATAGATTGATAATTTAGTTATTATCTTAGCTTAATTTTTAGTTGATAATTAAGGAGCTCTTGAATTAGTACTTATATAGTTTAGATATTATTTTAAATAAATATCTGTCACTAGTTGATTTAACATTCAACACTTGTGGAATATGATTTTGCGTGTCACTTCGATAGCTATACGGATAATTTAGAACTTTTTAGCGAACAAAGTTTTTAGTGTAAATTTTCATTTAAAAGTATGGCTTTGTACAAAAAAAAATAAATAAATTAAATAAAATTAAACAACAACAATTGGACCGAAATATTGTGACAGCTTTTGGAGGTCCTTTGTTTATTTTTATTGAGAAGTTTTTAATTTATATCTTTGATGAAGAGAGAAAAAGAAAAACAAAATAAATAAATACCTCTCATCTTTGACTTTGAATATGGTGTAAGCTGACCTTTTTGCCCTTTAATAAGGAGAAGAAAAGGAGAAACATTTGAATCAAACTCTGCTTACATCATAACCGTATAAATCTCCTGAGAATTCTCCCGCGGTTGTTATACTGGATTCATGGAGGTTAAATCTCTGCTAGCGGTTGTTATACTGGATTCATGGAGGTTAAATCTCTGCTAACTGCTTCTCCTTTCTTTTCCTAATAATTTTTCAGTTTGGTTGCTACTGCTACACTTCAATTCAATGCCCCAAGGAAGAAAATCGGTATGATGATGTTTAATTCACACATTCATATTCGTGATTTCATACTTTTTTTTTTTTTGGGTATTTAAGCTCGATTAAGATTTTGGGTTTCAAAATTCGCATTCACGGAGGTTTCGTGGCTTTGTGATATTTTGTTGAATCACTTTTCTATTTATGATTTATACTGCTTTCGGTTTGTTTCTTTAGGTGAATAAGAAATTCAATTCTCTGTTTCTTTCTTTTAGATTTTCGATTGACTGGTGAATATCAATGTGTATTTCATGGTTTTGGCTGTGGAGATAATTTTCGAAATAGAGACTGTTTTACAACACGGCGTACTCTGATAGAAAATTTTCAAGGTGACGGATCTCGAAGATGTCGATTGGGAACGGCCAAAAATCCATTGATCAAGAAATCGATCACGTAAGTTCATGAGCTGAATGAGTTAAAAAGAAAAAAAAAAGTAATTGTTTCTCTCGGGTTAAATGATCTTTAAATTTTAATTAGTTGTATTTATCACAGTTTTCGTTGGTACTTTGTTAACTCTGACTACAAAATGTGTTAATTTTCTGCTGTTGTATTACTATCAGATACAAATATGGNTTTTTCTTTTATTGTTGTAAGGTAAGAGAGTGTATAGAGAAGTGCATGCAGATGTACATGAACAAAAGGGAAACCGTGAACTTTCTCGCTACACAGGGCAACATTCAGGCAGCTGTTACTAGAATAGGTATTTTAATTTCCAGCATTTAAATTATCAAAGACTATATATCTATCTAACATTTTATTTCATCATCTCTAAATGAAAACTTGTTTGCGTTTAATTTCTTTTGCTCCTTGTTTTTATTAGTCTGGGCAAGGCTTGAACGAGACAATCCAGATTTTTTCAGGGCTTATTATATAATGATTGCCGTGCAAGAGCAAATAATTGAATTCAACAAGTTGCTTCCTGCACAAGTCGAGCTAATGCGTCGAATAGCATTGACTGGGAACACGAGTGTGTTCAATTCTAGTCTTCCTCACACAAGTAAGAAATTAAGTAGTTGTAATTTTAAATTATTCTGAGTTATGAATGATATTGTTGCACTATGCAGATGACTATGTTTCGGTTCATTTATATGATTTTCTTTGGCTCTAATGCAATGCTTTTCAATAGCGTCTAAGATTTTTTTAAATTTTCATTGTGTTCAAAGAATTTTATTCAAACTGTTCTAATCTTAACAGCACCATACCGGAATGTTGATCTTCAAGAAAGCAGGCATTCAAAACCAGAGAATATGCAGCAAGTGTACGTAATAAACAACTATGGACCATCAATCCAAGGAAATCTTGATCGGCCCTTTCAAATTAGAGAAATTAATGATGTTTACCCAAACATGTTTTTGCCTCAATACACGAATGCTGGTTTCGAACAAACAGAGAATATGCAGATATTTGGTGACGGTCAATCAGATTTAAGTTTTGCGAGACGTAGCAATTTGATGGTATCAAATCCTCCGAGAAGCAACGCATTCTTACCCTATTTTAATAGTAATAACATGGCGCAACATTCGGAAGGATTTCACTTGAATTATGGTATTTTTGAACAGCATCATCAGTTGAATTCGGCAGCTGCTGAATACCCAGTTGATTACTCGTCTGGCAGTTCGGGTCTTTCTCTCCCTAGTAATGCAGCACCACATTATGTCGACAATTTTCTCTTCAAGGATGGGGTTTGTGAGCAATATCACCCGACTCCCAATCCCGAGTACCCTGTGGACTCCCTTAGTAGTACCGGTCTCTCTCTCTCTCTCTCTCTCTTTTTTTTTTTTTTTCTGGAATTCAGGAAATGCAGAGATCTTGGACCCTGGATCATCCGGAAGTTTGAAAAATCCGTTTTCCGGATGATTTTTGATTTGTATATTTCTGCAACTGTGGACTGTAGTGAAATAAAGACATTGACTTTTTAGTTTTGGTAACATAGATTCAGGAATTCTTGTTCTGAATGTGGTGTTTTTGTTTATGCCAACATCACTCTGCAAGTAGTGCTGCTTATGCACACTAAGCTCTCCACCGGCCATTGCCAAGGAAGTGTGAACTTGTCAGTTGTACCAAATATGATGTTAATGCTCTACAGTTTTAGATTAAATTTTTTTGTTGAGGTAAAAGATAGTAGGGTAAGTTGATGAATCATGGATGTTCTTTGAGGACAATGCCAGGCAAAGAAGATGGATGGCTTGAAATGGGAAAAACAATGAAAGCATGAAAATAAACCAAGTCACTTTGATACACAATAACTACTATACCAGCCATGAATCTTTGAAATTAGGATTTCTTAAGAACACAAATTTAAAAACATGAAGAAAAGCATAATAATAATAATTCACAAACAGATTGTACACTTGGCAACAAATAAGTGAATAACGTAAGTTAATCCTTGTCGAGAGCGGCCAAATCCTCACGGGCTTGGCTAAACTCTACTTTGTAAAGGACACAACTAGTGCCATATATGTATAAACATCACCCAACCAATAAATTATGTGTGACATGAATAACATATCCAATTATTCAACTACAGAAAGTCCAGGTTTGTCGCCCAAGTGACGACTACATTTCAACAGTAAATAGCAAAAGTAGTTATATAGATTTTTTGTTGCAATTATGAAGAAGGAAATTCCAAATCTAAGAATAACTTGGATATTATAGGGAAAGCATCCTCCTTCCCTGATATGAGCTGTTGAGGGTGAAAAAGCTGGCGCTAATTTCCTGTTCTGACTTCATCAATAACAGTGGGTTCGAGATCAACAAATATAACTCTAGGGACATGCTTTCCTGACTCGGTTCACACCACACAGCCACGCGACCGCATAGCCGACGACCGCACAGCAGGGCGTCGTGCGAGCCTCGACAGTCCCGCTTGAGTCAGGGACCCGTTTGCAATTTTCTTATTTACTAGTTTGCTTTCCTAATTTATGTTTCCTAAGACCTTAGTTGCAATTTTGGTATTATTCTTTCACCTTTTGGAAACTTAAGCAATAAGATATAAGAAAAACCGCTCGCGTTCGAGCACAAATCTTGTGTTTAAACGACGGCAGTCAATGTGGATCATCACAATTCCAACCTGCTTGTAGCATTTTTGGGCATGTGGTAACCGAGCTACCCGGCTCGGGTCGTTCTCAAAGGAAGGCTGGTCGGAGCTTCGTTCACTACCTAGTCGTCAAAGTCACATAACCGCAAAAATAGGGTCCTACACATTCTACTCGCTTGAAGGGATTGGATTTGCGTGAAATTAAACTAAGAATCTAGAGCAAATGATGAAAGATGCAAATATAGAGAGAAAGATCGAAACTTTGGTCTACCGGAATCTCCATAACTCAAGAAAAAGAAAAATAAACAAGAGAAAACATGCGAGCATAGTGATCCTAGGTAATCTAACATGAGTTTTCAACACTAGATCGTCACGCTTTAAACAAAGTCGAGATCTCTACACAAGATAAGCACACATAGATTCTTAACACATGTAAGCAAGCAAGAAAAATAAAGCAAAAACCTAGAAACGAGCATACACACAATTCGACAACACAAACTCGAAGTAGAAGGGCCTAAACAAGGTACCTACTCTCCTATCGCATGCTTGAACGAAAATAGTAAATAAAGCTCAAAACTTGGATGAAAATAAACTTGCCGGAATTTTGTCGAAAAAATAGAGTCATGGACCTCCAAACCAAGCACAAAAAGAAAAGAGAGGATTTCCCAACTTAAAAGTTGGGAAATGAGAGGTGATGTCAAAATTACAAAGCACAATGTCTATTTATAGCTACACCACAAACACACACTAAAACACACACATTTAATGAGGAAAACTCGCATGTTAACTCGAACTAGCGAGCAAAGGCCGGATTTTCGCGGGCAAAAGGCTCGCTCGCGAGTGCTGGGTCTAGGAGGTGCTGGAAACTCGCGGGCGAGGAGCTGACTTTGCGCGCGCGGCTAGGGCTCGCTAGCAAGGAGGACTCGCGGGCTAGGCAGGGCTTCGCGGGCGCGGGCTCGAAAACTCGCTAGCAGGAGCAGGCCTGGCACGGCACTCGCGAGGTAAGGGGATTTCGCGGGCGCAGGGCTCGAAAACTCGCGAGCAGAAGCAAGCTTGGCGCGACACTTGCGAGGTAAGGGGATTTCGCGGGCGCGGGCGGCCACTCGTGGGCGCGAGCCTTGAGCACTGGAAATGGTCCCGGTTGCCTCTTGATGCTCGGTTCGCTCTAACTTCTCGCATGCTTCTCCAATTCTCGAAACTTTGACCCACACTTCTCAAATCTTCTTCTCCTCGACTTGAGATGTGTAAATGAGTGTCGTCACGCAATTAATAAATATTCTCGGAACGGCACAGAAATGGTTCGCACGACTAGGTCATGGTTCGGACGGCTCAGAAATATCTCGAAAATGGCTCGTTTCCCCAAGCATAGTAATGATGGACCTATTCAACACTAAAAAGACAAAAAAAATACGCCGAATCCCAAAAATACAATACGAGAATAAAAATGCACAAAACACGATAAAATGGACCGGTCGACACTAAAATGGACCTAAAAATATTAAACTCAAGCACATAAAACACACGAAAATAAGCACAAAAACACAATAAATGCAACCACTGAGAGAACCTATCGTGTATCATCATGTCAAATAGAGAACGGACCGATCATTTAGAGGAGAGCATCTGTTTCATTAATGACGACGTACAATCAACGAATTAGGTTGTCGCAAGGATCGAGCAGATGATGCTCCAACGACCACCAGACGCACGTGAAGGGGCGATTCCAGTTCGTTGTCGGATGAGACTACGGAGTCGGATAAAGAGTCGGAGTTCCGCAACGATTTTGCGGATGATGATGATAATCGTTCAATGGCTTCAAACCACTGGGAGAGGCGTAGGAGCGAGAGGCCAAAATTGATCATACTTACCTTTAATGGGATGGACTCGGATTCGTGGTTGACCCTCGCCAATCAGTATACCGAAAATAGAAAGAGTTAAATTTTTCATCTACGGAGAGTTGAACGTATGGTGGCAATGGTTATCAAGTGTTTACAAGAAGGACACCCAGATCTACTGGAAATCATTTTAAGAAGGAGTTGATTATGTGGTTTGCGTCATCGGGTTATCATGATTACGATGGAGCACCAACGGGAAACATGAGGCAGATACCTGCGGGTGTTAAACGGTTATCTTAGGACGAGATGCAGCGACAACGGCAGAAGGGTCTATGCTTCAATTGCAACGAAAAATTTGCGTGTGGTCATAGATACAAAGAAAAACAATTATTTCTAATCGAGTTCGTGGAATCTGACGAAGAAGCGCAAGAGGAAGAAGAGCCAATGTATGATACAGATCCACAAGAGATGACCCACAGATCTCAATCCATATGATGGCTGGATGTAAGGGCCGAGGACCATGAAGTTGTCGGCCTGGGTTCGTGATCGACAAGTGGTTGTACTGGTCTATAACGACTCATCTCACAATCTCATTAACTCCGCCGTGTCCAAGAAATTGAATCTGCCAGTGACTCACGTGGAACCGTTTGGCGTGAGAGTATCTACTGGGGAAAGGTGCTCTGAATTTCTTTGGGGCATGCCCATCAGAATGCAGAACGTGATCGTAAGAGCGGACTTTACGCATTGTCACAATAGGGCCAGATATGGTGTTGGGTGTTCAGTGGCCTGAGGAGTTGGGTCCGGTCACGACAGACTATAATGTCAGAACTATGGAGTTTTATTGGGAAAACAGACTGGTCAAGATACTGGTTAGAGTTAGTGAGGAAGTTAAGCAAGTGAACCTGAAATGCATGGAGAAATTGTGATAAGGCAAAAGTCAATTCTTTGCTCTCAAGGGGGACAATAGAGAAGCAGCGTCTGATCCTACTGCGCCACATTACCAGGAGATCACTGACTTGTTGCAGCAGTTCGATGAGATGCTAGCCGAAGGGCCTTCCCCATTGACAGGCCTTCAACCATCACATTTTGTTGAAGGATGAAAATCAAGTCGTGCATGTCCACCCATACAGGTATGCCCACTTTTAGAAAATCGAGATCGAGAGGCAAGTTCGTGAGATGTTGGAGGTTCATGTCCATCCATACAGGTATGCCCACTTTTAGAAAACCGAGATCGAGAGGCAAGTTCGTGAGATGTTGGAAGTGGGGCTAATCAGGCATAGTACAAGCTCATTTTCCTCACATATACTGCTCGCAAAATTAAAAAAAAGACAAAACTTGGAGGTTCTATATGGATTATTGGGCACTCAACGCGGCAACTATGAAGGATCGTTTTCCAATCCCCAGTATTGATGATATGTTGAACCAATCGGGGGGATCACAATATTTCTCTAAGTTGGACCTAAGGGTCGGGTATCATCAGATAAGAGTGGCAGATGCAGATATCCCGAAAATGGCGTTTCGCACTCATCAAAGACACTACGAGTATCTAGTAATGTTGTTTGATCTATGTAATGATCCATCAACTTTTCTTTGTTGTGAATTCCATCTTTCAAGAATTCTTGCGCAAATTATTCTTGGTGTTGTTTGATGATATACTGATTTATTCAAAAACTTGGGTTGTGCATCTTGAGCACTTGAGATTGGTTTTGAAGATTTTGGCAGAGAATATTTTTCATATTAAATCGTCTAAGTGTTCGTTTGGGCAATTCGGTGGAATATTTGGGCCACATAATTTTCTATGAGGGCGTGAAGGTTGATCTCAGGAAGATTGAGGCGATGCAAGACTGGATGAAACGAAGGAGTTTGACAGAATTGCGAGGATTTTTGGGGCTAACGGGCTACTACCGGAAATTTGTCAAGGACTATGGCTCGATAGCCAAGCCATTGACAAAAATGACTACCACTCCCATTCTAGTAATGCCGAGATTTTTTTTTAGTTCACACCAATGCCAGCGACATTGGGATTGAGGTTATCCTCATGCAAGAGAACAAACAAATTTTATATTTGAGCATGGCATAGGGTCGTATGCATGTCGGGTGATTTCGTCTACGTGAGGGAAATGTTGGCCGTGGTGGAAGCGATGCGAGTCTAGAGGTTCTATCTTTTAGGGCAACGCTTCAGGATTGTGACAGACCAATAGCCGCTCAAGCATCTTTTGGAACAAC